TATCTAAATTTCGGAAGGGATGGAATTTACCCTCCAAGAGGAATTGTCCACCAGTTGCTACTCAATAAGTTCAACTTCCTTTCACTTCAACAAAGTACAATGTTAGCAAGTCAACTCTTTCTTTTTAAATTATGTAACAACCTTATAGTAGTAAAAAGACGTTCCCAACGCAAATTCTATAAGTAAACAACACTACAGTATTCCAAGTGAGGGTAAATTAATTTTTTGTACTACATGGTAGGAAATACTTAAATGCGTATAAGAATTTTAATTTAAGATAGACTGACAACAGTTTTTTGGATGCATGAACACTAAAGCTTAAGTCACTGTCAATCAATGATTCTAAATTTCTAGCCTTCTCGGCGCACGAAATCACCAACTCATTGATATTAAGAATTGTGAAATTATACATATCAGACCGCTTCTGTATATATTTCCTTAGTGGCTTTTTAACCTAAAATTTCTATTTTGCAGGAGCTCACCTCTGAAATCAATTCGCCCTTAGTTATTCATCAAATTATGGCCAAGAAACCATCAGTTGATGACTTGATAATTGAACATGGACAACGTCCATCACTACTTGAACACCTTAAAGAGGATTTTGAAGACCTAATGAGCAACAAAGAGGTACTGAATGAGTGTACTTTGAAATTTATAAACCAAATCATAGATCAATCAACTTTGGGTATAATTTTTGATCTACATAGAAAATTTAAGACCAGAGCCTATTGCTTAGAAATAGATGAAGGTAAGAAAGAAGACGAAACTGAAAAAGATGAGGATCTTGCAACAAGCTCTGGCAAAACTAGTCAGCACCAGTGTGTATGTCCAAACTGCGCACAAACAGTAGCATCGCTTAGATTTGCTAGACACTTGGCTAAATGCATGGGCATATCATCATCAAGAAATGCTTCAAGGAGAGCAGCATCCAACAAGGAAAAGGGCGAAGCATCAAAATATACAACTGGAGGTCCTTCTGATGATGACGATGAAGACTGGAACCCAAGGAAGAATAAGAAAAAAGACAAAAACGGAGGAAAGAAGACCAAAGGAAAAAAGAGTTCAGAAACAGATTCACCAGAAGCAGCAACTGTGGATGTCGAAGGGACTTCTGAAGAAGATGCAAATCCTCGATTAGTGATGATTCAGAGTCGTCGGCATGTGACAGATCTTCAAGAGCGCAGGTCTAGCAGTTCTTCACCAACAGAAGGTGCTTCAGGAGGTTCTGGTACTTCTAAGAAACGGGATAAACTGAAAAAAAGGAGTAAAGGTAAAGAGCGAGGATCCCCCAGTACCCAAAACTTTGATTAAACTTGTATGTTGTATTATTTTCGATTTTATTTTTATCCGAATTATATTAAGGCTGCTAGATATTGACTGATAAATATATGTCAATACTTGTTATTTTTATAAGGAAATATAAAAAAAATGGGTGAATTCACTATTAAATTTCTATGCAGAAATACAGAGAACCTGGTAAATTAATTAATATAACTTATCAGTCAGGGTAATTTAAAACTGACTTCATATTTTTCCAGTGTGCCCACACTCCATTTTTGACTAATTTTACCTTTATAATCAATATTAAATGTAGTAGTTATTGACAAAATATTATGCTTTGCTTGATGTCTGTAACCACAAGTACTTATTTATAATAATTATAAGTTATAAAATATTTCTAAAACTATTGTTGAATTCTTGTTAAATGTGAACAAATAAATATTGTAGGATTGTAATTTCGATTGGATCGAAAGATGTATCTATACCGAATCATTATAAAACTCTGTGACTATACTTTGATGTTCAACATCTCTCTGCAATCTCATAACTATATTATATAAACCTATGTCTCATTAAGTTACTGTAAATTCCTATATTCACAAATAAATAATATAATGCCATTTTGTATTTCTTTTAATTTGAACTGGATTCTATTCTAGGAATAGGAAAACTCGAGGGAGAACTCATTATTTTCAATTTTTCAATGGCTGGGTTAGCTGGGTAGTAGTTTGAATTAAAAAAAAAAATGGTTCGAAACTGGCTGACCAATGGGATAACAGATTTTGCTTTTATCCATCAGATTGCATACCTGCAAGTTTTTCAGAAGGAAATGAATAAACCGACTGTTAAACTTGTCGGTTTTTCTTTTGTTTAAAAATACTGTTTTTTATTTTATCTACAAGCGTTTGGTTATTGCGTTTTTAAATAACCATTTTTCTAGTGTTTGAGTTATGTCATGAGACTCATAAAAAGAACTGTGGTGTTATGGCGGTAGACAACGACTAAAAAACGAAAATTAATGAAAAAACATTCTTATTTTTCGCTTTGCAGATAAAACGTTGTACATCACACGAGCGTTTAAACATGACTACAAAACTCGTGTGATTAGAACGTCGTTCTAGTAAATAACTATTATTAAGAGACTGCAGAGGATTGCGCTAAAGTAAAAAAAAGTTATAGTAACCTGACGACACGATGTTCTGGTCATGCTTATTGTCGGGTTGAAAATATAAGAAATACAAAACTAAAAACTTTGAAAAAGATAAAATTGATCATTTTCAAATTTCAATTTCGAATTACGAGACGGTCGCTGACTCATGCCGATTTCGATTTTACTGCATTTCAGTGCGCAGTGCGCACCGAGAATAGCTTGCACAGTTCGATTCGAGTGGCGGCGTAAAGCTTAATTATCATGCATCCGTTTTTCCGACGAAAGATGTCCGAAAAATATTCTATATTCTGACATAATCGTATAAAAATATGTCAAAATAGAAGATTTTTCGGACATATTTCGTCGGAAAACGGATGCATGAAAATCCGGCCTAAAATGGGCGAACTCTGCAGAGCGTGCAGTGCGGAGCCGTAATAACGTGACCGGCGAGCGCACAGAGCAGTTAAAGGCTGTATCAGAGGTCTCGAAATTTTAATAAACGGTAAATTTATGCTCGAAGAACTCAGATCAAAATACCGAACGCATGGTTAGTATTGTATTCCTTTCACACCTAGGAGGAGCTCCGGGGCGTTACGCGCTTATTCCTTTCGAAAAGTGTTTGTTGCACCTGAAGTGCTCAAGTCCGAATCAAACCATTTATGGCCGTTTCTACCAACTATTTTAGGGAAGCCTTAACGATAAGTATTCCCTAAACTGACAGTTTTCCATGGAGAAATGTCAGTTTAGAGAATACTTATCGTTAAGGCTTCCCTAAAATAGTTGGTGGAAACGGCCATTAAATGCACGAAAGCTGGGGTGGTATTCCGTTCACACTATCTACCGTGCGTTCGTTATTTTGGTCTGAGTTCTCCGAGCTTGACTTTACCGTTCGTTTATTTAAAAAGTGTACTCGGTGCAGCCTCATTCGCATTCGTTTATTAAAATTTCCGGTACTTTTATACGGCGTTCAACTGCTCCGTTCGCTCGCTGGTCACGTGATTACGGCTCCGCTCAGCTCGCTCTACACTTTGAGCAAAATATCGAACGCAAGGCTAGTAGAAATTAATCGACTTTGTCGCTACAGGGATTCTGTTCACGAGTTGCGATCGAAAAAAGGCTACTTTTCGCGTCAAATCGATCGCTCCTTTTCGGTGTAGCAAAGGGAGTCGCCTGCATATGTAAAATCGCTGAACGGAATCGCTTTGCTTGATAGAGTCGCTAGCGACATCGGCTTAATTTGCTCGCATTCAAACGTGAACGGAATGCCCCAGCGCATCCGTTGCTTTCAAATCGGGGTCGACTAACACCGGAGTGAGTAGCTCGTGTTCTAAAACTCTTGAAAGTTATAGAACTATTCCTTTCACACCTAGGAGGAGCTCCGGAACAGCTCCGGGGCGTTACGCGCTTCTTTCGAAAAGTGTTTGTTGCACCACGCATCCTGTTCCTCTCAAATCGGGGGCGACTGACACCGGAGAGAGAGTAGCTCGAGTGTTCTAAACTCTTGAAAGGAATACAACTAGTGCGAGTCGAAATGGCGGGAAAACGTCAATGGTGTTTTCTTGCGTCTCAAATGTTTTAAAACGTTTTTCAAAACTGGTTTAAAACAGTGTCACATGACGTCATCGTTTTTCAGCGCGAGAAAATGGTTTGAAAACTTAAATTGGATTGTATTTCGAAACGGTTTGAAACAATTTTGATGTGACGTAATGGGTTCATCGCGAGAATATGCTGTTTCAAACCTGTTTTGAACCAGTTTCAAAAAAGTGAACGCGAGAAAACAGCTCTAAGACGTTTTCTCGCGGGACGAATGGTTCGAACTACGGTTTAAAAACCAATTTGTAGATGACGTCATCACTTGTGAACGCGAGAAAATGGAAGGTTTGAACCACAGTCCTATGTCAACGGAGAACAAGCCGTGAGACCGGTTCGAACTTTTCTGAACCAGGTTCAATGTGATATCACTCGTTCAACGCAAGAATGTACAGGTTCGAACCTAATTGAACCGGATCGAACCAGTTCCACCGCGAGAAAACAGCTCAAGTGTAAAAAAAGCCGCTTTCCAGCTGTGTGCTTCAAGCACGGTGCAGGATAGTGTTCTGTGTTTGAAACGCAAAAGTTAGCAGCTCTCGAAGCGCAGTACGGCTGGAACACGGACACGCGCTTGAAGCATTTGCGCGCGCAAAAGCTCGATTGCGTGCTCAAAAGCGTCAGCTGAGCCGCTTTCCAGTGCCTAAATTGTTAGAGTATCATGCTCCTGAAGTGTGACGCTCTTGAACTGTTCTACATAAGCTGCACTGGAACGCTCTCGTCTCAACCCCCACCATTTCGGATTTCGGGAGCATGAAACACAGACAAAAGGGTTGGTGCACGAGGGGGCAGGGGATAACAGAAATGAGTAGCTCAAGTGTACGACACTAAGCACTGGAACGCGCAAATCAATTGTGGAGCACTCCTGAGCTGCTCAGGAGTAACTCAAATGGGTCACTGGAAAGCACCTCGGAAAGCCGCTAAAAAAAACAAGAACGAATGTCAACGTCAACCTACATCCATTTTCCATTATTACCCCCCCCCCCCCCCCTATATTAACCTTTATATTTGCGCTTTTTATATCACCGTAAATTTTGATTTTTCATGAGAGCCGCATTTGAACAAAAATAATTATTTGTTTAGTTATATTATTGAAATAGTGCTGGGAATATCTGGCGAACATGGCAGGTCCAGGATTATATGGGGGAGATGAAATAGGAGCCTTGGTTTTTGACCCCGGTCATAATTCATTCCGGGTTGGATATGCTCAGGAAGATACCCCAAAAGCTGATATTCCATCAGTGGTTGGTGTGGCCCCAGATGATAGTCCTAAACTCGAACCAGAATCTAAACCTGATGATAGCAACATTTCATCTAAAAGTAAGTTACAGTTGACCTTATACAGGGTGTATATTTTAAGTGATACCACTATGGCTATATCCGAACCGGTAAGAGCTACAAGGTCGGTTAAATTAGAAAAAAGTTGCCTTTTTTAATGCTCATTCAAGACTTGTTTACAGTGTTGCAAAGTCCTTTTAGTTTATGAAATACAGGGCGATTTATAAAAAAGGCCTAAAATTATTTCGTCAATTATTTTGAAAACTATTGATATTCGGGACACAATTTAAATTTGAAAGTTTTATAATTTTTTTCGCTCTACGACATGGCATCTTCAAATTTTAAATCCGACGTTTCGTGATCGAGATACCATCATCAACTTCATTTGTTTAAATACGGACCTGGATTTTTAATGTCATTTTTGGAAAGAGGATTAAGGGCGCTTCCTAAAAATGACATAAATAATCCAGGTCCGTATTTAAAAATATGAAGTTGATGATGGTATCTCGATCACGAAACGTCGGATTTGAAATTTGAAGATGTCATGTTGTAGAGCGGAAAAAATTATAAAACTTTCAAATTTAAATTGTGTCTCAAAAATCAATAGTTTTCGAAATAAATGATGAAATATTTTTGGACGTTTCTTACAAATCACCCTGTATTTCATAAACTAAAAGAAATTTGGCAACACTGTAAACGAGTCTTAAATGGGCATCAAACAAGGCAACTTTTTTCTAATTTAACCGACCCTGTAGCTCTTACCGTTTCGGATATAGCAATAGTGGTATCACTTAAAATATACACCCTGTATAGGTGGCATGGGTAAATGGGTATCTTGGCTGTTAGATCCATTTTGGCCAAAATTTAATTTTATTGAACCCCAACGCCAAGATTTTTATATAATTTCATCAATTTAGTACTGTCTAAACAGTGGCGGATCCAAGATTTTCTTCAGGGGCAAGCTTAGAATTATCAACAATGATTTTTTGAAAATTTATTTCTACTTTACTTATACGTTAAAGTATGTAGGTACAGGCTGGTCCAATTTGGATACTTTTGATGTGAAACGTCAATTTCTGAGCCAGTTACAAAAAAATGAACTCCCCACTCTGCTGAGGCTTATATTTCATAAAATCTCGATTGGTGCAAACACTGCAAACCGCCTTTTGATACCCTCAACCGTTTGGCCACTAGGGGATGTTTCTCGATTTTGAGCTAAAAGATGAAACCTTCCATAACTTTTTTATTTATGAAAATAATTGATACCTATCTGTATAAACTTTCTAGAGGTACTTTTCCAAGCATAATTCAATGACGTACTCAATTATTATTGTTTTTAATAAAAAAAACGCTGTGTCTAGAATCCCGGTACCGGTAACACATTTTTTACCGGTAGTTGTATAAGTTGTATATATTTCAGACTTAAAACAGAGTTTCATAGCGTTATCAAAATCTTAAAACTAGGTTACAATCAATTACAATTACAATTAATAAAATACTATATCACTTAATGGGTATATCACATCTGTATAAAAAATTTTAAACATTATAAAAGGACAGTACTAAGTAACTATGAACGGTTAAGACTATTCAAAACAAGTTAAAAATCCAAATCTGTGACCTGATATTGCAAAAATTCTTCTATTGAATAAAAGCACTTACTTAACAAGAATTGCTTGATTTTATTTTTAAATGGCTTTATTGGAGTGTTTCGTATCGTATGAGGCAGTTTGTTGAAAAATGCCGGTGCATAATATCGCGTTGCGCTCCAGGAGGTTTTTAAGCGTGAAAAGTCAATCTGCACGTTATAACGTTGGCGAGTGTTGTAATTATGGACCTCTTCGGCACGAGTGTAGTTTGAAGAGTTACTATGAAAATATAGTAGAGACTCTAGGATATATTGTGCTGGAAGAGTTAATATTTTTAGGTCCCTAAAGGATGGTTTGACATCATCTCGGTATTTGATGCCAGCTACAATTCTAACTGCTCTTCTCTGCAGGCCAAAGATGCGAGAGGTATGACATGAGTGTCCTCATGCTAGGAGTCCATAGACGCTCACTGAATGAAATAGACCATAATATGCCATTTTTGATGTTTCTTTATCTACAATTTTCGATATATTACGAAGAACATAGATTGCGGAGCAAAGTTTTTTTGAAATAATGTTGACATGCTGCTCGAAAGTCAGCTTCGCATCCAATGTAACTCCTAAAAATTTGATTTTTTCTGGGTTGTCTTGAATTGTAGTTTTCTTGAGAGAAAAGATTATGTTTTCTGTTTTACTTTGGTTGACATTCAGAAGATTGGAGTTGAACCAGTCAACAGCAGTTTCGACATGTCTCGTCATCTCCATTTTGGCAACATCCAGTGTTTTGGCTTTTATGGAGAGTCCATTATCGTCCGCGTAGATAACAACCTGGCATCCGGACAGGGCAGCTGCAAGGTCATTTATGTATATAAGGGACAACAGTGGGCCCAGTACCGATCCCTGAACCACACCGTGCCTCATGACTCTCTCCTCTGAGCGCCTACCCTCCAACTCCGTGATCTGCCTTCGTCCCGAGAGGTACCCAAATATCAAATTCACGCTGAATTCACAGAGCCTGTAGTATTTTAATTTTTCTATAAGGATATCATGTGATACACAGTCGAAGGCTTTGGAGAGGTCACAGAAGGTGGTGGACACAATCTGCCCGTCCTCAAAGCCCTCAACTATGAAATCACAGAGCTTTAGTATTGCCCCAGTGGTGGTTCTGCCCCTTCTAAACCCAAACTGCTCTTCTATGAATAAGTGGTTTCCCTCAAAGTACATGTAGAGTTGGTCCTTCAAGAGAACCTCAAGGATCTTGGAGAAGACGGGGATCAAAGAAATTGGTCTGTAATTTGATGGTGATGTTTTGTCTCCACTTTTGAAGATTGGCACAGTTTTACTAATTTTGAGCTCTTCAGGGTAAGCACCTTCTTGGATACATTTGTTGAAAATTTTTGCAAGCGGATAACAGAGAATCCCACCAAGTGCCTGTATTAGCACTACACTAAGGTCATAGAAGTCCTTGCTGTGCTTTTTTTTAAAATTATTAAGAGCTTGAAGAACTTCGAGTGGGACTACACTGTGGAAAGAAAAGTGCAGGTTTGGGTCTCCTAGGTTACTGCTCTGCATATACAGAACTGGCGATGTGTCGACTGCTGGTAGATTATGAATGAGGTTTTCAGCTATGTCAGCAATATAATCATTACATTCATTTGGGTCTATATTTGCATTTGCTTTAGAAGTGCTGTTTGGCATATATTTTTTTATTAGATTCCATGATGCTTTTGCAATGTTATCAGAATTACGGATATAATTTGAATTTGCTTGTTTTTTTGAGTTTTCCATTTCATTTCGGTACCTGTTCCTCAGTGTGTTTCTCTCTGTCCGCAGCACAGGACAGTCAGTTTCTGAGCACATTTCATTTAATGTGTTTAGCTCATGTCGCAGCATCTGTAGTTCCTCTCCAAACCACTCAGCTCCGGGTTCCTGGGTGCTTTTCTTTGGTCGTCTAGTCACTGGAAGTGCAATGTCTCGATATGATAGAAATCTCTGAAAAAATTTGGTGGTACTCATTTCAGCATTGTCAGTTTCCACGAATGACCAGGTTTCATCCTTCAGCAAGTCGCACATCTTTGCAATTCCTATTTTTGTTATGGGACGGTAAAGAGATTGGTCTATTTTTAGGTTTTCATTTTTTAAAATAGGGATGACATTTATTTCACATTCGATTGCCCCATCATGATCAGACAGATTTGGATTAAAAACATTTACTTTACATTCACACACATTTTCAAGATTTACAAAGATATTATCAAGACGATGGTTTTTACGTGTATTTACAAAGACTTTTTCCCTATAATCATATGATTCAGTGAGATCTAAGAATTTATGTTTAAGGTTATAGTCCCTCTCAAAATGTATGTTAAAATCGCCATTCAACACAACATATTTCTTTAGACTTAGACACACATCCAAAATACTATCTGTAACATTCAAAAATATATTAAAGTCTCCATTGGGTGGACGGTAAATAGTTAATAATAATAGGTTCAGTCTTTTTATCTCTGTGGCACTTACTTCGACATGTTCTGCTACTGACAGGCTTGTGACTTCATCATGTGTCTTCGATTCCCATAGGGGGTTATACATGATTGTTGATCCACCATGTTTGCTGTTCTTCCGGCAAAAGGATGATCCCATTTTGTAATCCAGGATTTTGAGATGTTCTAGCTCGTCCTGCATCATGCAGTGCTCCGTGAAACACAGGACATCATATTTTGTTCTTGATTTTATGGTGGCTTCTATTTCTCCAATTTTGTTTCTGATAGAGCAAACATTTGCATAAAATATAGAGAAGATTTGTGTTTGTGGGTATGGATTTTGGTTTTGTTTTTGTTTTTTATATACTTCTTGGTCTCGGGTTTGTGATTTTACAAGAAAAAATCACCTGATTCCTTTAGAAATTCTGTGTGTTTGGTAAAATTGAACCTTTTAATTCCTACAGAGTTTGGCCAGAAGTTGGTGTCGTAGAGTTCATCTTTTTTTGCAAGAGGGGCTACAACAACAAAGCATTTTTGCTTTTTTGGATCGCTAGGTAGTTCTTTTACTGCGATGTTTTCATTGGTGAAGCCTGGTTTAGATTTTATATAAGTGGTTACCATTTCTTCGGTGGTATGCCTCTTTATGCGATTTATATAGAGCCAAACTCTTCGATCGCATCCCGAGAATCCATTTTTCTCATTTTCTGGTGTAACTTCTGCTTGTCCCAGCCGTTTTCTGTAGGTACGCCTTTGGTGCCTTTGGTATGAGAAGTTTTGTTTGTCTTCTTTATCCTGTTCAATTTGTGGTTTTAGAGGATCAGGAAATGCGGCCAGGTTTGTTGTATTAAAGGAGTGGCGGTTTCCCCTTGGAGCAATAACAATCCCTATAGGCCTGTTCGCAGAACAATCACAAACCAGTCAGAGTGAATCTCATTGGTTGAAAATAGTTTTCTGACTGTTTCTGATTGTTT